GTTGCAGGCCGTAAGATTGATTTGTTTCCGTGCGTGTGGCCTGATGGTCGGCCTGATGCTGTCCGGGTTTCATTGTACTGATCACGAGGTTTGTTTTGCCGGCAGGGCAGCACTCGTTTGTCCCAGGATTCGTGATGCTAAAAGGGGGATTACTAGTAAAGGCATTTTTTTTTTTGGTGGTGGTGGTATGGCTCATAATAAAGGTATCTTTAAAGTTCAAGAAGAAATCAAAGCATATCCTTTCCCCTTTGGAGAGCAGGGGACAGAGCCGTTGTCGGTGCCATCCTTCGCCTGCAGCGACGAGCGAGTCGTGCGCCCGTGGAGCGAGCTAATGACTGCGTGTGTTTGATTGCATCGGGGGAGGAAGGCAGGCAGCCGTGAGGGAGGAGGGAGACGGCACCCGGTGCAGGGTGCCAGCGGTTTACAGTTACACGGGAACAGCAGAATCAGGGAGGCCCGGGGCCCTCACCGCCATACTGATGGGAGATGCGTGTAGTGTGAGAAGACGAGGTGGAGGAAAGGGGAGCATCTGGTCAAGGTCGCTCAGAGGAGGGCTGAGAGGCGCCTTTAGCTGAGTTCAACAAGTGGTGCTGCTCTGAGGTGCCAGTCAGTGAAGGAGAGGGGGGCTGGTGAGAAGCACCGCCTGGATAATGAGCGCTGCTGATGCCTGCGGTCAGAGGGAAGGGTGGTGGTTTGAATTCCTTGCTGGCATACAGACCTATGCCTTGAGCCTTTGGATGCTGAGGGTGGTGTAGCTGTGCTATTTCTGAGCTCCCTGTTTGCCTTTTGGGAAGTGAGGCGCTTCCAGCGGTAACAAATGATCCATACATTAGATCACAGTCTGGCTCATTGGAGGGGATGGGTAAGGCCCATGTGATGTCTGGGTGGTATGAGGCTGGGTAGGAGATGAATAGGAGGCAACAGCCAGGAGAAGTGAGTATGAAAGAGGGTAGAAGAGCTAACCTCCTTATGGCTTATGTGTGTACCATGTGGGTAAGGGGTACCCACCAAGCAGGTACCCTGTGGTCCCTGCTGTACCCAGAAGGCGGTGGCCAGCTGTGACCATTGCAAGCCATGACAAAGCAGAGCCCTGAGGGGAAAGATGCTCTTGTGTTGAGTCACTGTTGAAAATGTGGAGAGCTGGGTTTTGTCCTCAGTTTTGCTATACCTGCTGACTAGGGATGACCTGACCTGGAGTCCTAAAAGTGCTTAGATGCCGTATTAGGTTTTAGATTGGTCTTAATGCCCTCTTACAGGCATCCAGGTGCTTTGAAAGAGCTGCATCCTTGTGGTTCTGTGCCAAATTTCCTTGTGATAAAAATGAGGGGAAGGGTCAATGTGTGGCAAGGAGAAGAAGGCCTAGACTGCCTAGGGTGTGTTCAGGTGTGAACGCTAACCTAACCGCTAATCAGGGAATCATCTGCCCCCTGCAAGAAAAGGGCCTTGTCTCCTTTGTCTCCATCACTAACCTCGGCAGGAAGAGAACTCAGTCTGAGACGTTTACGTGATGTAGGTGGGGGAAACCATGCCTGAGAGTAATTTCACCAGTTTTTGTTTACTGGGGCCTAACTTGTAGCTCTGAGGGTTGTGCAGGCCAGAAGCACCTACACGCTTGGCTTGAAAGATTGGTAAAGGTGGTGTGAGCACCGACAGAAGGTTATTAGCAAAAATTTTGGGTGGCTTTGGAACCCCTTGCTCCTGGAGCTGAGCTGGAAAATGGGAGATTGGAAGAGCTGTGACAGCAGGGCCCCACAGGGTACTTTATCTCCCCTGCCAGCCTTAGGACAATAATTGGAAAGCCTTGGAAAAGGGACTGTTAATATTTTTGGAAAAGCTTCCAATCCCTCCTGAGACAGAAACATGATCTTTCCAAATTGTGCTAACTCAAGCACTTGGCTGTCTAAATGCCAACGTCTGAGTCACCTGCTCCCCCATGCCTCCCTAACACAGAGCTGGCTTTAATGCCACAAGCTTTAAAAATGTAGAAAATGTCAGATGACTTTCACAGACATTTAAATTTTTGTCTGTGGGACTTCTGAGGTTGGACTTTCAAGCTTCCTCTGTGGCTCTGAGGGCTCAGCAGTTTTCTGTTTCTTAAAACAAAATAAAAATTCACATATATGCAGATTCCAGGAACTGTACTTAATTTAAAATACCAAGTATTGCCAGAGTATCGAGAGGAATAAATGGGAAGGTTGGCAGCACTGCTGCTGCCTCTGTGAAGAGGCAGGCTGCTGTGCCAGGTGCCGTGGGGTAGGGTTGGGAAGCTCTTGCCTGGGAAAAGCAGGTCTGTTGCTGAAGAGTGTACATTTTAACTGTTGGGAGTGACTGCCAGTAGAGCTCATGGGCAGATCTGAGACTCAGTTTATGGGAACTTGACAGTTGGCAT